ATTTTGTGTTTATGGAGACATAAAAGACAGCATAGTATTTATACCAAAGTAAAAAAAAAAAAATGTTAGAAGTTAAGACAGTTACCTTTGCAGCAGCTTGGGAAGTAACTAGAAAGGGTCACATGCAGCACGCTGGACTGCTGGTAATGTTTCCTGATCTGGGTTCTAGTTGCATAGATGTGCTCACTGTAAAACTTCTTGATATATATTTGGGATGTTTGTACTTTTCATATCCATACTATTCTTCAGATAAGATGTCCATTAAAAAGAAAGAAAACCACAAATTCCACCACTGCCCCTTCCCATCCGTCTACAGCTGAGCTCATCCATGCTGCTCTGACAAACTGTCCCTGCTTCCAGTGAAGACGGCTTTCTTATGTACAACACAATCAGCCCTCTTCTTTACAGGGATGTGGCTCTCATATTCTCATGTCTTCCTCTGAGAAGCTATTTCCCGTTAATCAACAAATACTACTTTTATAATTTTTCAGACGACTTTCTCTTGACCTTTAGTTACTATTTATTTCTCCTCTTAGCTTAAAGGAAAACCTAATGGTTTATCAGTGCTCACTGCACTGTTTTGTTCTGACATTCTGTCTGAATCACCTCCACCCTCCTCAGAAACTGACCTTGTCAAGGCCCCACTACACTGCTCAATCTAGTGGCCACTTTCTCATCCTCGTCTTCCCTGATTCTCAGCAGGTTTTAGGGCCATCCACACCCCCTTCCTAGAACCACCCTCCTCCTGGCATCCAGTGCACTACATCTCCAGCTGTCCTCCTACCACACCACTGCTCCTTTGCAAACGGTCAGTTCCTCATCTCCCTGACCTCCACGCTTTAGCTGACACCAGAACTCTTCAGGGCCCCTTTGCTGTGTACACTCGTTTGAGGCTCTGCTGTGGCTAGGATATGGCTTGAATGTGTCCCCCAAAAGTGTGTTGAAGTGTGGTCCCATGTGGTGATGTGAGAGGAAATTTGCCAAGCAGTGCCTTGTGGGAAGTCAGGAAACAGCCCTCACAATGAGGACTGAATGTTTCTTGTGGGCCTCTGCTGCTCTCATGAGAAGGTTGTAAGACTGACCTCTCCTGTCTCGCTGGCTTCTGTTCTCTCCATGAGATTGCTTCTTCTCATGCCCATTCCTGCTATGATGCCATCCCTGATGCAGCGATGTACCCAAAGGGGCCCTCAGATCAGATGTTAATTTAAGAAGAGGAAATCAGCAGGACCACCCTGTCTTGGACTTTTAGCCACCAAAACACATCCATCTCTTTAGCATCTCTACCTAGATGTCTAATGGACAGGTCCAGTTTTCAAAATCAAACTCCCAATCTTTCCCTAAAAACCTATTCTTTTAGAAGATTCCCATTTTGTTAATGACAATTCCATCATTTTATAGGACAAACCCCTTGGAGTTATTCTTGACTCTTCCTGGCCTATTTTTATTTTTATTTTTTTGAGACAGGGGCCTGCTAAGGTGCCCAGGCTGAGCTTGAATTTGCAGTCCTCCTGCCTCAGTCTCCCAGAGTGCGGGATTATAAACTTGGGCCACCACATTTGGCTCTGATGCACCCTTGGGCTGACTCTGGCTGTTGTGTTAAGAAGTCTGGCGATAATCCAGCCACTAACCATAGGGGCTTAGCCTAAGAGGAATAGCAGTAGAAGTTGTGAAAATGGTCGGATTCTGAAAACACTTTTGAAGGTTTAATTTGAAGATTTTTCTGGCAGATTGGGATTGTTTATGGGAGGGAGAGAGGGAGGGAGAGAGGGAGGGAAGGTGATGTCTGGTAAACAGTAAAAGCTCAACTCATATTTGTGGAAAGAATGAATTATTTCTTTGCTTATCAGTACACCAAACTTAATAAAGGCAAGGCCCGGGGGATTTAGCTCAGTGGTTCTGGCGCCTGCAGCTCAAGCGCAAGGTCCTGAGTTTGATCCCCGGTATCAAAAAAAAAAAAAAAAA